TATATATATATATATATATATATATATATATATATATATATATATATATTTTACAACGTTTCCTTTCGCAAATTATTGTGTTGAAAAATATTCCGGAAAATGAATATGCATTTTTTTTTTTGCCTTCTTTTATTTTTATAGCTATTATAGAATTTCTTTTCCGGTTTTCTTTCCTGAAAGAAAAGGGGAAGGAAACGGAATTCTTTTTTTTTTTATCCTACCAAAAACCAAAAAAAAAAATCATAACTTTTTGATTATTTTTTTATTTTCTTTAATTATTACTTTATCTTAAATAAAACTTTCTTTTCTTCCTTATGAACAACTATGCATAAATGAGAACAAAAATTTTACAAAATAAAAAAACACAAATAACAAAAGCTATTATTGTTAGTGATAATGATAGCATAGTGATATGAAAAAAGATTTTTAGTGATAAGAATTACATTTTAAGACAGTAAATGATAGAAGAATCAATGAAATAATGTTAACTTACGAAACATTATTGAGGATATTTGTATTATTTGGAATATTTTTCGTACGATTATCGTAACAAATCATAATTAGTGATAATGATAAGACTATCCACTACTTGCAATGAGAACAGTGATAAAGATTGATACAATTTCAACAGATATATGATTGTGCATAGAGCTTTAGCATAGATATCTTTTCTTTTACTGATAATTTTCAATAGTTCAAATTATTAAAAAAAAAAATTATGAAATAAACCTAATAAATCAAATCTGATTACTTTATTTCATTCAATTTCATTTCGATCATTTCATAGTTTTTCGCAAAGTATTAAAATTTTACAAAATTTAAGATAACACTTCAGAAATCATAAACGTTAAAATCTGTCAACTACAATTTTGATTTTTATTTTTTAAATTATTATTTTCATATATATTGTTTACCTCAATTTTTTAATTTCTCAATTAAAAATTAATTAATAAATTTTATAATTGTAGCATATGCATCACCAACAACTTCATCGATGGAAATTATCATTGCTACTAATGTAAGTTTTTTGATTTGCAATTGAATTTTGCTAAATTTTAATTTCATTAATTTGATTAATAATCATTCTTTTATCATTCCTTTATCAACGCATTTTCCGCATTAATTTCTTTTCCATTATTTCTAATTTAATTTTTACTTTTTTAGCTTTCTCAATTGCTACTTTAGCTCAATTTGAATCATAACAATCCTTGTGATATAGTAAAATTTCAGCATGGTTTAATTATTAATTAAAATTATCACTTTATCAATTTGCAATTCATATGTCATAAAAATTATTTTATTTTAATAATTTATACATTCATTCTAAGTATGATAATGGAGGGTGTAAAAGGTATGAAATGAAATATGAAAAATTCAATTTTCCTTTCCATCATTTCTATCATTCAATTTAATTTTTCCGGATGCAAAAACTTGATCCGGTTGAAAAAAAAAACTTGATCCGGTTGAAAAAAAAACTTGATCCGGTTGAAAGAAATTGTAAGGATTTAATCAAATTTCTATTTTACTAGCAGGTTTTTAGTTAATTGCTCTAAAGATTAAATAGCTGATAAAATTCAATTTCATTCTTAATGTACTAATTGAAAAGCTAATTTTTTATTATTAACATTTCAAATTAATGCGTTAATAAATTTCTGTTAGTAAATAGATTTATTGTGATATTTGAATATTCCTAATAGCAGTCATTATAATTAATTATTATTGTAATTAATATGTAGTCATATTTTTTAATCTTTAAAAACAGTGTAATGAAATTCTATTAATTACTATTAGATATGCTTATTTGTGTTATTTCATTTCAAGAAAAATAATCAATTTTTAAATTAGCATTTTTTTCTTTTTTTGCCTTCTTACTCAAAGTTCCTGATTCAATGGCAACATTGTATTACGGGGAATTGAAACGAATTCTATTCATTCATTCCTATTGTTTAAATGAGTATTCGATTTCAAATTATTTAAAAAAATTAAAATTTCTCGTTTAAAAGAAATTTTTTCTTTTTTTTTTAAAAAAAGCAAGATTCAAAATTTTAATTGAAAATGAAAAGGTATGTAAATGAAGGTATTTCAATTAATTATATAGATTGATATATAAATTTAAGGTATATTTTGTTGAAGATATATAAATTAAATACATTTTCGTTTCCTTTTTTTGAACAATTTTTTAACCAAGAAAAAAAAAGTAATTGACGGCGAATGATAATTTGATTAAAGTATAAGAAGAAATGATAATTTGATAGAAGTTTGAGAGAGGATGATAATTTGATAAAAGTTTGAGAGAGAATGATAGTTTGATAAGAGTTTAAAAGAGAATAATAATTTGGTAAAAGTTTGAGAGAGGATGATAATTTGATAAAAGTTTGAGCGAGAATGATAATTTGATAAAAGTTTAAAAGAGAATAATAATTTGATAAAAGTTTGAGAGAGAATGATAGTTTGATAAAAGTTTGAAAGAGAATAATAATTTGATAAAAGTTTGTGAGAGAATGATAATTTGATAAAAGTTTAAACACTTTGCTTTTTTTTTTGCGTCTCTTTCATCGAAATTTTCGTTTTTTTTTTTGCTTTTATAAAAAAAAATTCCATTTTCTACCTTTCCTTATCTAAGCCTATTTCACTTCTCTTCTTCTCATTTCCTCTCTCTTTCCCTTATTGCTATCAGTTTAACTAAAAAAAAATTTTGATTTTTTTTTTTTCATTTTTTTTTTTTCGGCAAACAGAGGAAAAAAAATTTTTGAGAAATTATTCAACCATAAATGAAATCATTTACGAAATAAAATTGTGTGTGCAACAAATAGTTCCAATTATTACAATTTCAAAAGTTGAAAAAAAAAATTTTGGAATAATTAATGAATTGTTAAAATGGTAGATAAAGTATAAATTATATAAATATGGGCAAAAGTCAAATATCACTCAAAAAA